TCAACTCCTTCCCTCAAAATGATGCTATAGAGCACTACACACCAAAACAACTAGACACAAGAACAGTTTTTTCCCCGGACACCATCACTCTGCTAAACAAATAATTCCCTCAACACTGTCCAACTATTTACGAAGTCTGCACTACTATTACTATTAATCTTCTCATCACTCCTTATCACCCATCCCCTCCCACTTGTGACTGTATGACTGTAACTTTGTTGCTTGTATCCTTACGATTTATATTGACTGTTTCCTAATATGATTTGATTGCTTATTGTACCCTATGACTATTATTAAGTGTTGTACCTTAGGATTCTTGACTCTGACAAATGTATCTTTTCTTTTATGTATACTGAGAGCATTTACATCAAAACAAATTCCTTGTGTGTCCAATCACACTTTGCCAATAAAAGAATTCTAATTCTAATCTAATCTAATGAAAGAAATCTAATAAATGAAATAAATGAATGTTCTTATATTGTTGGGTACAATTTTACACAGATTCTGTAAGGAAAATGAAATGTTGTTTTATTATGAATTTATTAAGGATTATTTATTTTGTGTTATTTTTCACTGCCAAAGATTGAGACAGCATAAAAATCATTTTTAAAAAATCCTATGTGCCATTTCCTATCATTTATCTCTACCTCATTTGCTTCCAAATTGTGGGTGACTTTTTTCTTTTAAGTCTTTTTCTTATAACATTGTTTTTACACAGGTAAGACAATGATGTTCTCTCATGTATCCCATTCTCTCTTTATATCAAATACAGTATATATAAAAGGTCTATTTTGTAGTATGTTGCTTTTTTAAAATAGTTGTGATTACTGGAGAATAAACACATCATTTCACTTCTCAAATCACTATGTAGGTTAATCTTTTTCAAAGTTATTGGAGATTAAAAATGTTCTTCTCAATTCCTTGGGTGAAAAAGTTGAGTACCAGTATGAATTCGGGCAACTTTTTTTTAAAAAAGTTCTCTTTGCATCTATTAATATTCTATTACAGATAGATTAAAGAATCCATTGGTATATTATAGCATGGATTATTACTAATATAATTATTAATAACTATAATTGTTATCTAATAGAGTTATTAATAATGTCATTATTATTAATAAGCTATATTATTATAACTTTCTACTTGAATTGAGGCATTAACTATTTTATTAATGGAATCTTTTTTATAGAGTCTTTAACTTATTAAAGAACTGCTCAAGCCTACTTATACAATATCTTTTAAAAATAACCTCATTCTGTTTTTAGATTCATCCTAATTACAGATTACTTTTATATTCTCTGCTCCTCTCAACAGTTACATCATCATAAGTAACTTCTTTCGATTTTTTTAGATTAGGATAGGCAATCGAAATTGTCAGGTTAAGAATCAAAAGCTGTCCATGTACACATTATTTCTCTACCTCATTAACATACAAGCATATGCATGTTCATTCCTTCCATCCTAAACAACAAGCAACAGTCCGACTCAGGATAAGTGGTTTATTCAGTTTTTTTCTAGGTCTCATGGATGTTCTATAAAATCTTTCCTGCATAATTTTCAATACAGAAATACAGTTAAATGTATTTGGTCAAGAACCAGTATAGAGATAATTTACTGAATGAATTGCATGGGTGGTGGGCAAATGAAAAGATGTTATAATCCAATTTATTTTTTATTTACTGCACAAATTCTGTGTAGCCATGTATTCTTTCCAGCAAAGTTCTTCAGGAGACTATCCAGGCTGAAAATAGAGCCAGGAGGGCTGCAAGTGCCCCCCCCCCCCCAATACCCCATTTTGGCCAGCAGGGTGCTGCAGGAGGCATCCATCCCATCTTCCCCCCAGCTGGCCCGTGGAGAACTACAATGCTGATTCGGCCCTCGAAGAAATCCAGTTTGACACCCCGGCCTAGAAGATCTGCAAGGTCCCTTCCAACTCTATTATTTGGTTAAGTGTGTAATATGTGTAAGATTTTCTGTTTCCTAATTTCAGTATGTTGAATCCATAGCAATTCATGATTTTGTCAAAATAGCAACATGTGCATTGCAACGTCATAATGCAACTTCTACCACCTGAGTGCAATTTTGTGACACACAGAGAAAAATAAGCTTACAAATCATAATGAAATTTTACCTTTTGCACCCTCCATGCCACCCATGTTTTTAAATATCTTTTTCCATATTAAATCTTAATCCTATTAAAATTGCCCCCCTTTCTCTCTGTGCTCACATACAATTGTCATCATGTGTTTTGTATTCTGCTTTGTTCAGGGACGCAGCTTTACGGAAGAGTTTCTGCTTTTTTAAAAAAATGTTTGGGGTTCAAATCCAAAATATCTCCTCTTCCCATCTAATCCTTTCCATTTTCTCCACAAAATCTTATTATACACAACAATCTTTTCGAAGAATAATGAGAATTTGGAGATCAGAAACAAAATGAATTTTTCTTCTTTAAGATTGATCAAAGTAGAAAGGATACAATCCTGAATTTGTGTTGCTTCAAACAGGAAACTGTTTATATTGTTGCTTTATTTTTGTGCCCTCCCCGCATTCTTCCACTCCTGGGGAAGGCCATGGTGTATCTGGATATTTTCAGAAGTGGTTTGCCACTGCCTGTTTCCTAGGGCTGAGAGAATGTAAGTAACCCTACGGCACATTCAACTGGTTTTGTGCCTAAGGCAGAAGTAGAACTCATGATCTCCCAGTTTCTAACCTGGTGCCTTAAACCATTACGTCAAATTGGCTCTCATTGTTCATTTAAATGTTCTTCTGCAAAGCAACAATGACTGTTATATTTTGTTAGTTATGTTGTGTTTCATCGACTGCCAGCAGTGATGGCAGTCCAGTCTGATGAGTGGGAGGAGATAGAAGGGGTGCCTGGGTTACCATCAGAGCTGGCGGAAGGCTCTGAGGAACAGGAAGTCTCAGAGCCAGAGGCAGAGCAGGGCCCATCAACTAACGCAGCTGTTTTGGTGGGGCCTGAGACAAGAGAGGGGGAGAACAGCTGGGCCCTGTCCCAGATGTGCATATGCAGTGCAGGACTGAGGGCCAGCTATTCGGGAAAAGAAGACATTAACAAGCCCCACCCTGGATGGGATATAAGGAGGAGGAATGTGGGAGGCTTGGTTGTCGGAGACTTCCATTTAGAGTTCACTCCGGCGGATTCCTTGCCAGATTTCCTTGCCACCAGATTGGTCAGGACTCTTTGTGTTGGGATTGAAGTGCTAATTGACGCCCTCTGCAGGGAACTCAGAGACTGCCTATGGCTTGTGAATCACCTTCGGATGTGTGATCTGGACCTTTGTCAGTTAATGCTGTGTATTCCTGCCTTTCTGGCTTGTGAAGACTGGGTTAGAACAAGTTACAGTTGGTTAGAGTTAGAAGCAGATGATGGGAAATACTTTTGCTTGTAATCCTCTACAATCTGAATTGCCAATGCTAGGTTGTATTAGTCATTAATACATAGGAAGATATAAATTCCCATTATATAAATTCCCATTATATAAACCCCCCTCTTGTAATGACACAAATCTCAACAGACATGACAGTCCAGCTAAATTCATACAATCATTTGAGTCATAATCTGCTTTACTTTTTGTTGTGAATAGCTGGATTTACACATGAAGCTAAGCTTTAACCTGCAGGTTACCAACCACAACACCAGGCGAACAATGTAATAAATATTAGAGTGATATAATAAAAGTTAATGGAATGGAGAATATTCTTATAAATGTCAGATACCTCAGAGGATTCATGGTTTTATTGGTCTATAGAAAATTTGTAGAAAGAGCTTTGCAAACATAGTGAACACGTGTTTGAGAAAACAGATCAGTCTGGGACACATTTATTGCAATCACATGTTATTTTCCATAACTATTTAATTTAGTTTAAATATTTCTCTTCTGAAGAAGTAATCGTAATTTGCAATGAGGTGTGTTGATCTAAGGGGCAACCCTATTGTTATGTAGCACAGAAACGCATAAACGCCTAAGAGGCTTGGTAGGCCGATTGTTTGCAAGAGTATTACACAAATCCACTCAGAATGAAAGCATAGATAACAATGGGTTGAAACTATAGTGTACCCCTTTTCCACTGCTCATCTCACAATTTATTCAAAAGTTGTAACTGAATTATAGTAACTGATGGAAAGGATAACTTAGATTCTAAACCATATAGTATAGGCAGAGGTCTACAGATGATTCTGAATCAGGGAAAAGATGAAATAAAACACCTCTGCTCTGCCTCATGTGAGTTTAAAGCACCTTCTCCATTGTCTCATTCAGTACTGAGTTTATGCTTTGCACTAAACTGGAGCATAAGCTAACAGTAACAAGTGCTGACTGTTCAAGCAGTCAGGGGTCCTAAATGCTCTCTGACCTTGCTTGCTTAGCACCAATGATTTTACCTAGTTTGGTTAATTAAATGTCTAGAAGAAAACACCCAAGCTCAGAGAGTACCAAGGACTCCTCATTTCAATCCTGAGTTACAAATATTCTCCTTTATTGATATTAAAATGATGACATTACAGCAAACATGCCTGGGGCTTGCATGGTTGTGAAATCTCCAGAATTGCTGGACTGGGTAAACATCTTAGCTGCTGTCATACAGTTGGTAACAGACCTTGACTGGCAAGAAGGTGTCCAGACCTATTCTAAAATGGGCGGCTAAATAAATAAGTTTGGCAAGTATACAATTTCGAAGGTTAGATGTATGACTGGGAATACTTCATCACAATGTATCAACTGAGTCAGTGTTTATTGCAGTACAGAATATGGATATGAAACATATGCTTGCAACATCCTGCAGATACAAGGAGACACACAAGAAACTGTACCTTGGTATTAAAATGATTTTGTTATTATAGATATGGCTTGAAATGTTATGAAATGTAAACTAGAAGGTTGAGATTGTATTTTTGTTTTGTATTTTACTACACTGAAAAAAATGGATGTCATAACTTGTTTTCTTTCTCTGCACTTTTTCTTTCTCTTATTTTTCTTTTGTTTTTTCCATATTTTTATTTTATAATGAAACTTAATAAACATTTTATAAATCAAAGAGAAGCAGTGCCTTGTTAAACGCTTAGAACTGAATGTTCTCCACCAAGTTAACTGCCGCTACTGCTCAATTAGTGCACAAATTTACAAATGATTTATGCAAACTAAAAATAGAAGTTCATATGATCTGAGATCATGCCTTTCTGCTGATAGTTCAGTAAAGCTTTAAATGTATATTTTCTGCAAGTTAACAAGAATAATTTCCTTTTTTGGGAGGGGTGGAATCAGCATTCTGTAGGAAGAGAAGTAAAACATCTTTTAATAAATTATGGAAAATTATATTTTGCTATGTGGGCTTCTGTAGGAATCAGAATAATCACTTTGATTAGATTTACCATATCAACAGTAACATATAACTCAAACAATGAATAAAGGGCTATAATTTTTCTTTTTGTTCTTGCAGTTTTAAGACATCTCTTCAGATCATGCAGGAGTTTCCATCTGAATAATATAAGTTACTCTGCTTTGGAGACAATCTACATCTTGACTGGCTTCCTGAAGTTTACACACCCATATTTTGAAAAACATTGCTCCAAGGAACCATGGCCAATGATCCAAGCTTGAGATATTAAACTTAAAGAAGCCTGCATTATAGTGATTTGTAATAGTATAAGCTGTAATCTGCAGAATTCCTTTTCTTTTCCTTCATCTTTAGGAAGCAAACACTAACATATAACATTCACATTGGTAAAATAAGATAAAATGTTCTTACCTGTCCATTTTTCTCAAGTTCCATTTCAACTATTGCCACAGGACTGTTCATCTGGTCAATGTGTCTTGACTGTGTTTTTAAATCTACTCTCCAGCTTATGTTTTTCAAGCTATTTTCCCACTTGCTTTGATTTATCAGACTCTCATGAATTTTTGCTCGCTGGTTCTTCCAAAATTTTGCAATAACTATAGCATGATCGGTTGTGATTCCCCCTGGTTTCTTTGTTTGTGCAGTCAGAAAAGCTTCTAGTTGATTTGAATCCATGTCAGCTGAAGCTATTGACTGAAACAAAATGACAATTTTACAGTCTGCAATTCCACATTCTTTGATAAAGTAAGTACAATTCTCAAATAACATATTATCCACAAATCGTTATCCTTCTATCAAAACAAGCCTAGACTGAATTATCCAATTCTCAACATGAAAAGCAAGCATTTCTGGGTTCAATGAGGATGGGGGAGGAAACAAAGAAGACACAAATTTTACTGATGTGCATATTAAATACTTAATATAAGATACATAGCTCTGTATTTATACAGAGGTGATATCAACACAAAATTTTATAATAAGAACACTGAGTTCTTACTCTTTAACTGTCTCTTACCTGGAACAGTAAAAAAATTATGTTTCCTGGGTGACACATAGATTTTTCAGTTTAGGATAATAGAAAATTGAAAACATCCCAAAAGAAAGCAATTGCAAATTAATTTTGTGCTATATGGTTGTTTGGATAGTCACCAGGAACTTTTACTTCAATCTCTATTCACTGGATGCAATACTGTTGAAGACCATTACAACATATTTTTACTTGAAGTCAAAAGAGTCATCAAACTATATGTACCAACAACAACTCCCAAAACAAAACAAAACAAAAAAGCAGATTACCCATAACAATAAGGAAACTTCAATCCAAAAAGAGAACACTCTGGCGGAAAAACAAATCTGGTCACGTTGCCAATTTCAAAAGC